GAGGGAGATTGATTGGTTGCCTCCCACACATGTCTCGACTGGGCCGGGGATTGAACCTGCTTCCCGGGTATGTGCCCTTGAGCAGGAATGGAACCCACTATCCTTCCATGCACAGGCCAAGGCTCTAACCACCGAGCCACACTGGCCAGGGCACATGCTTAGAAAATTTTATTAGACAACTTCAACAATGTTATTGGTGCATTTAAAATGTGGTAGAAGGTAGCAGGGCTGGGCTCTGGTTAACCTCAGGTGGCCATGTGATCTCTGAGATACTTACCCTCTCTGGGGTTTCTGCATCAAGACTATCTGAGCATTAGACTGGATGGCTTGTCCAGGCCATGCCTAACCTGAGCAGGATACTTCTGTAATTAGGCTTAAGAGCCCACTAATGTTTTTTCAGCATTGATATCACTCTGTTGACCCATATTGAACTTGCAGATTATCGCAGCCCCTGTCTCCTTGGCCTCTGCTGTTACTTGGTTATCTCTTCTAAACTCATTTTTCGGCTGATTTTTTTCAGCTAATCACAAGACACCTCAACAAGTTCAATTCAACCCTCTTTGAACACTATATTTTGTTGTTTTGAGTACTCAGTGTAAAAATCTTTTAAAATTAGCTTGTCTCCAACATTGTCATCAGGTTGTATTTTACAATTTAATCTTTTCCTTCTAACAACTCAAAATGCTCATTGAGAACATTAGTTCTGTCCATGCCTGCCTGTGTATTATTTGTAGTATTATTTGATTATATCCTAAACGACCCCAGACTGCAGTGCTTGGTGGAGTTGGATGCGATTCTAAGGATAAGAAGTCTGTGCCAAGAGACGCTGTGGGCCCTCTCATGAGCCATGTCTGAGGTTTCCTTAGGGCATTAACTTTGTGACGTTGTGTTTAGTGTCGCAGTGGTGTTAGCTGTTGCCCTGGTTCCCCCCAGTACCAGCAGTGCCCTCAGGCTGGACTCCATGCCTGGACCTGGGAGGGTGATGTCAGCCACGGTGCTTGGACAGAGCTTGTCATCAGACTGATCCAAAGTGAACTCCACTGCTTTTTTTCCAGATTGTTTCTCCTTGTCTACGTGCCTTCTCAAAAACGTCTTACGTAAAAACTTCTTGGATATCATCAATATAAAGTCAAGTCCTGCTTCTACCTTTTTTCAGTTTTTCTACTTGTCATTCCCTTTTTTCTCCATTCTCTTCTGTAGCCATGACACTTTCCCCTAACGTCTGCTGTACGTCATTTCCCTGCTCTCCCCATGGCTCTCTCTGGGTCACTTCTAACACTGTTTTGCATCGTGTTCGTAGCTAGAGCAGCCTCAGCTCCTTCCTCCAGGGTCTTCTCTAGGGTTCTACCACCCACATAGCCACTAGCACATCCCTCAGCAGCGTCCTAGAAAGTTAAGTTCTCAGTGGTTTGCAGTCTAATGCTTCAGGACACGTCTAACTTCAAATCCATTCCACCACAACACGGGTCATGATCTGTTCAGAGGTCCGCTTCTTCTCAGCCCAGAAGCATCTGCCTAATTTGCTAATACAGTCAAACAAACAAACAGCATTTCAGTGCAGAGCATAATGATCCAGATGGAGCAAGGTCTGCGATCATCCAACGTGCAGGTCGATTCACGTTTCTCCCATAGTAAAGTGGTCCCCCTGATGGTGTTGGAGAGAATGTCCAGCAAAACCCAGTTGCAGTAATTGTTTGGCTGGACCTCACATTTCCTCCTAGGTAAACATGCTGTTCTTAGTTGTAACACCATACTTTATTTTTCTTCTGGTCAAGATTCCATTTTATGTTTAATGTATTTTTGTATCGTTTATCCCAGCATTTCATGCCAACAGTACATTTTGATACTGAATGTATGTGCTTCCTTAGTTTTCATGTTGTTCCAAGAGAAATACCACAAGGATTTTCTTTTCTTCTGTTTCTCATAACGACTGGAGCGGTGGCTGCCCGCTTGGGATTTTCAGACCCTGCAGGTCTAGACAAGCTGAGATTTGGACCCACTCAGTAGCAGCGTCTAGCTTATGTTAGGTAGAAGAAAGTCATGGAGGTCCATGTTTAACTGGTGCTGGGGCTCTCCGCGTGATTAGAATTATCCAGGAAATCTTTCACTGTTTCAAACCCCAACCATGTTTTCCCACTCAGAAAAACAATTGCAAATATTGGAAGTCTAATATCAAGATAAAGTTGCAACTGCTGTTTTAGCTGATATTTTCCCTAGGTGATTTATACAAAATTACTCTCTGCTTTATGAAGGGGATGTGTGTGTGCCTGTGTGCATGTATGTGTACATATTTTATTTCCTATACGTGACGTGATTATGGTTCAATGTAATGCTGAAATATTTATTTACTTAAGACAAATTGCTATGCTTATCCAAATATAATTTATACTGAATGTTATTTTAGTATACAGAATTATCATTCTAAGTTTAAAATATTCTTACCTTTATAAACTATATAAGTAATGTAATTGTCTTTTAAAACATCTCATAGTTGAACATCTATCAGGCTTTTAAAAAAATGTTCCCATGAATAATGACAGTTTGAATAACAACTTGTGGGGGGGAAAAAAATCTATGAACTTACCTGGATACCAGTAAATATAGAAAGAAGAATTATAAAAATCGCTATTTTGAAAACTTCATTATCATAATTGATTTAGGCAAGAATAACCAGTGATGCTAAAGCCATTGAGTGAAAATATATTGGGGAGCAGAATATTGACATAGTTTCAAACTATCTCCTCAGAGATTACCCATTAATGACCAAAAACAGGAAAAAATGCGGTGGAGAAATCTGTTGAACTCCATCCCAGTCAAGTGACCAGACTTATCACCAATTACAAAACACACTGACCCTGAGGGTCTCTGCGATGCACTGAGAAGGAAACGAGTTTTATAGTTTTTCTGCCAAAAATGCATAGTCTAAATCTAAGCTTGAAGCAACTATTAGACAAATCCTTCCAGGGTTTAGATTGGCCTCATTGCTTCCAAAATATCAGTATCATGAAAGACAAAGGCTCAGAATTCCTTTTACTTAAAGGAGACCAAAGAAACACCACTAGATCGTGAATTGAATTTTGGATTGCCGCCCCCCCCAAAAAAATCCAAAAAGTGTAACTATGCAGAAACGTTGGTCAGTGACAGCCCACTGAAGGTCCACCAGATAAGCAGCTTGCACGGAATGTCAATGTTACGTCACTGTGCACAGCATTTAGTCCAAGTGACATTTTTCCCCCAGCGAGATGTAGATGATGGAAGAACTGAGTATTGATTCGCATCCTCGGGGAAAACCCTCCTCTGCGCGCGGGCTGGCGTCAGACTCCCGGGGGCCCCCTCCGGGCTGCAGACGCGCTTTGAGTCGCGTTTCTGAAGGAGACTGTTAGGACCGTGGGCTAAACTGGAACATGAAACGTATGTACAGCGGACAGTCATTCGTATCAACATCAGATTTCCTGAATTTGGTAATAACGCCAGGGCTATTTAAGAGAACATGCTTGTTTTTCGGAGCTACATGGTCACATGTGTACGGGTGCAGGGTCATGATGTAAGCCCGAAATCGTTCAAAGTTTAGGGAAAAAGAGTGAGACTGAGTGGTTCCAGAGAGAGGCAGAGGTGAGCATTGCTCTTGATTGCTTTGCTGAATGAACTTGGGCGCCAGCTGAAGGTCTTGTGTTGACCATGTCGTTTCAAGCGGCCTATTAACCCAGCTCTGCGTCTTGTGTGCCCTGAGCGCTGGCTCCCGAGGACAAGCAAAATCCCTCGCCCTCTGGTTTCCCTCTTTGTGCTCAGTGCCCGCCTCTGTTTTGAGCTACTTTTTATTGGGGGGAAAAAAATAAAACCATCTAACTTGTGCTTTCTGCTGCAAATCAGGTTTCCGAGCAGGAAATGGATGAGGTGATAGCGCGCAGCACTTACCAGGAGAGCAAGGAGGCCACCTCCTGCCCCGGCTTAGGTACTGTGACTGCACATTTTCATTCCACAGCCCGAAGCGTCCCATTCAGCTCCCCCAGCGCTCCCGGTGCCGGGTTATTGGATTCTCTGTAATTATCATGTTGGGCAGGAGTAGCTGTCAAAGAGATGCTATGCTTTCCCGAGAAAGCTACTTTTGATAGCTACAGTTATTTAATCTGCTTTATTAGAGTTCTGATCATGCATGTTTCTTAGACTCCTTGAAGATGATTTGCAAAATTTAGTTGGCAGCATTTGATGTGTTTATGTAAAACTCATCTGAAATGGTCTAGGCGAACATGAAGCGATACCAAGAGATCAGTTGTTTGGTACATCAGTTATTAGATGCAGAGTATATTATCCAAGAACCTGGGGTTTCTTGACGTGAATTAAAAGTTTCAACTTAAGAAAGGCAGCAGAGGCTGCAAAAATTATGCTCTCCCGTTCTCACATGGAGAAGTTCAGGCAGAAAAGGACCAGGATAGTAAGAATTTCATATGAATTTAAAACAGGAAGCATTGCATCGAGTCTTAAAAGGGATGCTTCCTATAGGCTGGAAACCTAAAGGGACTCTGCGAACATGTCTGAACTTGAGATATTACTGACGTTAGGATTGATGTCGGAAGGAAGAGGAACTGGGGCATGAGTTTCTGGTTGTCAGAGGAAAAGGAAGGCATAGGAATCCTTGGAAACCATGAAATACCCTGATTATTTGCATCCATAATTAATATATTTAAAATTATGGCACAGCCACAATGGGCTCTTTATTCAACCAGCTCATTCTCCTGACCTGCCTGAAAGCTGTCCTCTCATACTCTCAGCACAGCCCCTCGATCATTTATAAAAGATGTTATTAAGCCATGATCCTCACGCCCAAGAGCTTTTGGCTTGTGGCTTATAAAGTCTCAATGCTGAGTCTTTTCACTCTTCAACTAAAATTAAAATAGATATTCAGCCCTCTCCCCAGCTGTTTCATGAGTTTCTCGGGCGGTGTCCCTTTGTTGGTTCATCCTTTAACCCACTCCACACATATTTCCCATCCAGGTGCAGTGCTGAGCACTGTGGGGTCAGATCAGTGAGGGCCTCAGCCCTGTGCATAGTTAAAGAGTTGAGGAAAGGAGATGAGATGCATCCATTTATAATTCAGTTATACTATGTGTACAGGAATTGGTGTGTGAGGAGCATAAAATACTTTTGAAATTCAGAAGAAGTTACTCCCAACTGAGATCATCATGGAGGTGGTAGTACCCAAGTTAGGTCTTAAAGCATGCGCAGGACCTTGGGGTGGGGCGGGATAGGGGTTGGGTTCCCAGGTAGACTGCATGCATGTCCATACCTGTGCACCTGGCCCATCGGTGCTAGTCAAGCAGAGAGGGTTTTGTTTAATGTGTTTGGCTCCTTTTCTAGTTAAGGGTGTGAGCCTGTTTGTATGGATTGGGGCTTCATTGTTCTGACAATATGGTGAATTTTTCCCCCAACAGGTACCCCCTTGAAGAGTCCCTCTCTTGCAAAAAAGGTGAGTCAGAGCACACTGCCACCTTGCCCAGCTGGCCCCATGAACAAATCCCTGGAGCCCAGAAGTCCAATGTGAGGGCCCAGCCTGTACTTCTGTCCATGAGTCATTTGGTCACTTTACACAGGAAACAGCAACAGTGCTGATTTGAGAACAAATATACAAATGTGTGTTTCTTTTATTAAATATTCATCCAGGAAAAGAACAGAGCGGCCAAATAAAAGAACTGAGCTGCAGTTTGAAAAACAGTTTTCAAAATGCTCCATAATAAGAGGGCCCCGGTTGGTTTTGAAGGGCCTGGGACTTTAAGAGGACGGTGGCATCTGTCCCAGCTGGCTGTCCCCAAGTCCCAGTGGGTCTGAGTGCAGGATCTGAGCTCCCCTGTGTTCTGTTTCATCAACACGCTGAACCAGTGGCTTGGAATTTCATTCTGTTTTCCTATCTCTTCCCCGCTGTTTTTCCTGGGAGGGTTGATACAATGCTGCTGCAGCTTCTCTCATCATTGCCAAACGTTTCGCACACACAGAAATCTTAAAAATTGTTGTCTGGCAGCAGCTGTGGTCCTTTGATTCATTAAATGTTTAATTGAGCCATCCTAAAGTAAATGGAAGTGAGTGTTCGCTGTCACAGCTGTTTCGAATGACCATGGATTAGAACAAACTGTTCTTGGAAAGATAGGAAGTAATTACTGCTGAAAATAATCCGCTTCTGGTGCTTCCAACATCTTCTTCTTCAACAGGACTCCCTGATCTCCGAATCCGAGCTCTCCCAGTACTTTGCCCAAGACGTCCCAGGCCCCTTGTCAGACTTCGTGGTGGCCGGCTCCGAGGACGAAGACCACCCGGGCAGTGGCCGCGGTGCCCCCGAGGACGGCGGCCTGCCGCCCAGCGCCTCCAGTAAGCGACGCCTGTTCTCCCGCTCCGGCCAGGCCGCTGTACAGAGTCTCACGGTGCTCTGATACGAAGGGAGGAATGGAAACCAGGCCCCTGGCTGAGTACAAGCCACCCTCCCAGCCTGACTAAATTCAGGGCTTACTGTTGGAAAATGCAGCCCACAGTTCATGGCCACGCACTTCTGCAGGAAACGGGCTGACTGCACGCTCTCCACCGAGCGGTGAAGGTGGCCGGACCCCACCGCCCTCAGGGGCTGTGTACATAGTGGAGTTTTGGAATTGATGGCATCAAAGGATTGGCACCCTGATGGCCTGCTTGAGGGGAATCCTAGCCAAATGCCAGGCCCTTCCCTCCCCAGACCCTGATTCTTTTTAGAAAGCAGTGAATGAAAGACTCTGAACTTGGAGGAGACGGGTGATTAATCTCATTGGTTGTCTTCTCAATGTAATATGAGAAAATGAGCAGACGTGAGCCGCCCTGTATCTCAGACTGACTTCTGCTGGTGTGGCTTTTTTATTTTATTTCTAACGTGTGAACAAGAAAATGCCTGTCTTAGGCAATGATCACCCTGCCTCGCTTGGAGCAGCTGGTGAGCTTACTCTAGTCTCATAGAAGCATTTCAAGGTGGAAGCATGTGTCATTTTTCGCTGTGTGCAGCGAGATGTGTAGCGTTTGCAGAGCAGCCAGGCCTCTCTCCCCTTCCCGGGGTGGAACTGATTTATAGATTATAATCTCAGGCTCACTGTGCCCCACGCTCTAGGAGCTCATATGCCCTTCCATCAAGCCCCTGTCTCTCCAATGAAGGAGGGGCCGCAGGTGATTACAAGGCCCAGGCGTGGGGCACTTGNCATGCCCTTCCATCAAGCCCGTCTCTCCAATGAAGGAGGGGCCGCAGGTGATTACAAGGCCCAGGCGTGGGGCACTTGTTGGTCCCCCAACATCATCCTCAAGAGGAACTCCAGCAACGCATTAGACATGCTGGATGGTGACAAATTATACATTTCTGTCCCTAGGCAGCACCTGCGTTTAAGTTAAACAATCCAGAAATTCAGGTACAAAAATAAGTAAAACACAAAAAGGGAGGCCAGCAGGAAAACACGAGGGGAGCTGGCTGGCTGCTCTGAGCTCTGTGCAGACCTCGAGAAGCTGTGTCGTTTAAGCCTGGCACCCAGTGGCCAGAGGGCATCCAAGGGCATCTATGAAGGCAGAAATGCTCAGGGGTTAAATTATAAGATCAGGCCAGACGGGGAAACTGTTTCATTTGACTTTTCTTTCCCCACCAGCTCGCAAGGAACCAGGAAAAGCCAGGGCCAACAGCCTCGTGTCTCTAGGAAGCCAGCGGGGCTCCGGGCTCTTCCACAAGCAGGTGACAGTTGCCAGACAAGCCAGTCTCCCTGGGAGCCCGCAGGTCCTCCGAAACCCTCTCCTCCGCCAGAGGAAGGTGGGCTGCTACGACGCCGACGCCAGTGATGAGGAATTCGAGGGCGAGGGGGACAGCATTTCCCTCCCAGGGACCCTCCCAGGTCCCGGCAGGCCTCTGACAGAGGACGACTCCAGGCATGCCTTGACCTCTTCCAAGGTCAGGGGTGTCAGCAACCAAGAGGAACATCCCCAGAAAACACTGGTCAGCAAGGCCTCCTCAGTGCCTCTCCTTGGCAGCTCCTTGAGCTTAGAGAGTGTCCCAGGGGACTTGGGGGACACTCCTTCCCATACAGCCAACCTGCTGTCCTCCGCAGACGCCCCCAAGGGTGGCTCTGGCTGCTCGGGGAGAAAGGAACTGTCCGGATCCAGGAGTTCACCCAAATTGGAATACAAAGCCGATACGCAGAGTCTGGTGAGCACGGACAGCCCCAGTGCCCCCCAGCAGAAGAGCGAAAGCCTGGGGTCCAGGCACAAGCCGGTGGCCAGAGTGAGCCCCCACTGCAAGAGGCCGGAGGCCGCGGCTAGGCCCAGCAGCTCGGACACAGTAAGCCTGACTGACGGTGCTAATGACCCTCGTGGCCTGGATCCTGAAGTCCGGGCCCCTGCAGTCCAAGTGACCGTGGCTGGTTTCCAACCAGGTGGAACTGTGGGAAAGGTAACTGATGTTCTCGTAATTTCTTGGGATCTGAGTGGATATTGTGTGAATGAACACGGAGTGTGCCGTGAAGCACAGGGTCATGTTCCTGTGCAAGGATAATGACTGGGGAACTCTCTTTGAACAGCACTCATTGCAGTACACTGACGGCTCGGGCGCCTGTTAATGCATCAGCAGGCTGCTGGGGGGCGTCCAGGTGTTGAGATCATTCAGCCAAAAGGCATAATCACTGTCTTACCTGCACTCGGGCGGGGCCTGTGGCTGATGATGGAGCGCAGTGGGAGGTGAAGGAAAACCCTGGGTCTGGCCCCGGTTTCTCCACTGACTGGTTGGGTGACCACGTGAGGAAGTCACCGAGCCTTTCTGAGCCACAGTTGTCTGGCTGTGAAGTAGGGGTGCTGTGTGCCCTGATCAACTCATGGAGTTGGGGTCACCATCAAATATAGGGTAACAGTGATTATCTCCTGAATGAGCCTTATTTTTTTTTAAATTTCTACAGTGATTATGTGTAATTAAAGCTACTCAGACCCTTGTGAGTATCACATGAAAGAAACTTCTAGTGCCACCACAGGACATGCAAGTTATTATTACTTGTTACTACTTGGTTACACCTGTGTCAGAATGACCCAGAATTGTCAAACTGCTCGTTTTTAAAATTCTCAGAATACCTCCACTTTAGCAAGGAGAGAGTGAGAGAAATGAGTGTTACATACAATCTCAGCATAAATGGTTTCTGAGCTGAGAATCTGAGATGACGTGTGAGGCCGTATTTATAAAGATGTGTAGTAAAGCAGTTTATAGAAACATACATGTAAATAGACCCAGAAAATATAAAGTCATAAAAACTATACCAAACAGAAGGGGTTTTCTTCACCTTATAGGAAAAAGTAGAAATGCACATTTTTTTCCCCCCTCCTAAAAAATTATTACCTCCAACTAGCACACGTGTTTTAAAATAGAACATTCAGCCAATGGGTAAACCTTTTCTTTTCAAAAGTATTATTGGCTAGTTCTGGATAACTATATAAAGCCAAATTGGCATTTCCAGTCATAATAATTTATATATATTAAAATAAGGGCTTTTGCCACTGTGAATTAGTATTCCCAGTACAAACTTTGAACAGCATTTAAAAGTGCTTTGGTACAAAAGTTTTCTCTTAAAAATTTTAGTTGCAAAATTTTATTTTATTTTATTTTATTTATGCATGAGGAAGAAAATAGAATGCATTGCAATAAAGTATTTACTCTCAAACATTGGAAGCTAAAAAGAACAATTTCTTTTGGTAAGTGGGTTGTCTTCTGCTTTTATTTTAATACCTTTTTTAATTGAGAGGAAATTCACATCACCTAAAATTAACCATCTTGAAGCCAATGACCCAGTGGCACTCGAGGCATTCCCAGTGCTGTGTGGCCACCGCCTGTCCCGTCCAGAACTCTTCTGTTTCTATACTACATTGAATAGAAAATTAACTGACTTAAACCCAGTGTAGATGTCCCTCAGCAGGTAATTGACATTTTTACTGAATGATTTTTTAATCTTTTTTTTTTTTTTCCACAAGAGCAGCTGAAAGCCCCTCTATCCCGTTTCACCCCTTTGCTCTGCTGCTACCTTTGGGCCACTCTCTGACTCTAACCCAGAGGGCAAATTTCAAGTAAATCTGACTTAACTTTCTAGCAAGTTTGTTTCAAAATTTTTTACAATAGGTACTAGATAGAAGAAAGGAAGATAAAGTAATTGACACTTGACGAAAGTGAAATTCTGAAATATTAAATGTGTGTGTCGTTTATCCCGACTGGTCCTCCCCCTGCCTACCAAGCCCAGGGCCTGAGTTTACGGTCTTGGGTAGCGCTTTGCGATGGAATGTCAGTAACACCTTCCGTCTCTGTAGCCTTTTGTATGATGCATGTTGTTATTACAACTGTTACCTCATTGAATCATCTTTATTTAAAATCCTATGAGTTAGGGCTAGTCATCTCATCCCCACTTTTTTCCAATTTTTTTTTAATTGTGAAATACACATAACATAGTTTACCACCTTCACCATGTTCGGTGACATTAATAGTCATGTTTTGCAACCATCACCACCATCCGTGTCCAGAATTCATCTTGTAAAATGGAAACTATGCCCATTCAACAGTAAGTCCCCAATGCCCCTCCCCGTCCCCCTGGAAACCTCCGTTCTGCTTTCTGTCTGTGATTTGTACTCTAGGTAACTGGCTTATTTCACTTAGCACAATGTCCTCAGAGCTCATCCAGGTTGTAGCGTGTCAGAGCTCCTTTCCTTTTTTGAGGCTAATATTCCATCATATCTTACCCTTCAATGGACAGCTGCTTCCGTATTTTAGCTATTGTGAACATGCTTCCATGAACATGGGTGTACTAATATCTCTTCAAGACCCTGCTTTCAAATTGTGGGATATACCCAAAGTGGGATTGCTGGATCCTATGACAGTTTCTTTGGTTTTCGTTTTGAGGAACTTCCATTCTCCAAAGTGGCCGCACTAATTACATTTCCACCAACAGTGCACGAGGTTCCAATTTCATCTCCTCACCAACACTTGTTATTTCTGCGTGTTGGTTTTGTTGTTGTTGTTGTTGTTGTTAGAGAGGGGGAAAGAGAGAGAGAGAGAAACATCGATTTGTTGTTCCACCCATTCATGCCTTCATTGGTTGATTCTTGTATGTGCCCTGGCTGGGGATCAAACCTGCATCTTTGGCATATCCGAATGATGCTCTAACCAACTGAGCTACCCTGCCAGGGCTCTCTGTTTCTGTTTTTTGATGATAGTCATCCTAATGGCTATAAGGGGTATCTTATTGTGGTTTTGATTTGCATTTCCCTGATCACCCACATTTGAAAGTTGAGAAAGCTGAGGCTCAGGAAGAGTGACCAGACCATGCTATTTCTAGTGGACCTTAAACCCAGAGTCTGGTTCTCGTGGCTCCTAGTCCAGGGCTTTCAGAATTTCCCCAAAGCAGTCTCCTCTGTATGTGACGTCCTGGGGTGCTGACAACCTGAGAGCTATTGACAGTGACTTGCTATTGTCGTTTCTGCCAGGACACTCTGGGGAAGCTGACCATCGGGCATGGGCCCCACCCAGGTGCTGGCCACCTCCCAGAGAACCTGCCCGAAGCTGGACCAGACCAGGGGCAGCACCCTGGGACAGGTAAGATTATTTTATCATTCATTATGCTTCTAGAGGGGAGAGTAGAAGTTCCCCTAAAAATCATCCCATGTGGAGAATTGATTGTAAGGGGGAGAAAACTCTTACACAGATGAATGATATTTAAAAAGCTGCCTACGTCTCACAGCTTGACTGGATCATTGTGCCTAAACTCGTTCTAATTCCATGTATGATGCGTGTGTTTACATTTGGCCGACACGCCTCACCCATTCTGGGACATGTACCTTCGAGACACGAGAGGAAAAGCAAGGGTTGCCCACCCGTCAGCACCTCCACACTCAGCTTATGTCACATCAGGTGCACAGAGGTCAAGTTTAAAATCGATGTTTTTTTACCTCAAGCTCACACAGGAAATATTTGAGCAGCCTGCTGAGGGCAACGGGATGCTCCTGGGCCCGAGGGACCGGCGCTGGCCCTGGCAGGCCGTCCTGAGCGCCGATTCCAGTGTCAGCACCCCCGGAACCTGCTCTGGTTAGGAAGCAGCGCTGTACCCCCGGGTGCCGCTCACCTGGAGCGTCATCTGTAGAGGCTGCCGGGCCTCCTGCCTCACGATGGGCCATGACTGAGTCAACCCTCTTCCCATTAATGGGCATTTGAGGGGGGTTCTAAGTGAAGGATTTTGAAAGGCGACCTCAGGGCTGCCCCCCATATAATTTATCTCCCTCGAATAAAACCCTTTTCAGTTACATACTTTGCAATACAGTCAGATTGCAAACAAAATTTAGGGTTTGCTCAGTGAATGAATCTGAACCTGAAAAGCTGCCTTTAAACCCCCTCCTGCCTCGTTGCTGCTTTTCTTCCCAGTTGGCACCAGCAGAAGCAAGACAGTCATGAAGGGGGCTCAGAGAGGTTGAGCAGGAGCCCGTGGATTTGAATCTTGGCTCAGCCCTGGCTTCCCACGGGGGCCTGGGGAAGCCGTGGAGGGTGTCCACATCCACGTCCACGGGTGTCTCTGGCTAACCTGCTGTTGCCAGGCGCTCTGTACACGGAGGCCAAGTATTCGGGGTTTAGGTCGTGGTGTGGGCTGTGGAGCCAGCTTCCTGGGTGACCCCTGGCTGGGAACTCCGTGACCATGGGTACCTTGCTTACCCACTCCGTGCCTCAGTTCCCCACCGTTCCAATGCAAATGGTCACAGGGCTGGGAGGAAAATGAAGTGCGTGAAAAACTCTCAGCACAATGCGAAGTTCTAATAGTTCTTGATGAGTGACACAGGAACTTCAGGAGGGAAAGAAATATGCAAGGTGATCTGTGGGGAAACATGGAGTCACTAGGACATTTGGGGGACACACCTCTCAAAGCCAGAGCTTTCTGTGTGAATGAGGTTTTCACTTCACCCTCAGGCCTGCAGATCCTGAGAAAGTGACCTCCTGTTCTTCTATGCCAGCCTCCCCCCTCCCCCGTAAGCTATGTGCCAGAGGTGGACAGATCAGCCCGAGAGTATTCGGGCCTCAGGAGAAGGCAGGGCCAGGACACGTCACGTCATGGAGTGACTTTGTTCCCACGTCCTGGCGTTCATCACCTTGCCCGGCCTGAGATCGCATGCCGCTGCTCGCCCCCCGCGGTCATTGCATTTCCTGCCGCACCTCACCCTCGTCATCACTGGTCCCCTCCCGCCTATCGCAGCTTCTGGGGACAGCCTGTCCTCTAGTTCTCTCCTCGACTCTGAGCTTGGTCGAGACACGGCCAGGGCTCAGTGTAGACGCGCATCCGTGTGGCTTCCCAGATAAGCTTCATCTCCTGTGCTAAGCAGGGAGTCCCTAAGGTCCACTTGGACTGTTCATGCTTTGCGATACGGTTCGCAGCCCACACCTTGGGGCTGAACCCCGAGATGGGCAGGACGCTGGGACCGAGGGACGTGAGGCCGCTGCAGCGTCAAGAGGAGGCTGAGGAATGGACTAGAACCACACACAGCCCGACTCCTATGGCTTCTGTCATCAGAGCCAATGGTGTAGAGACACCGAGGGGAGGATTTCTGGTGCCCCCCTACTTAAAAATAATCAAAGGAGAGGGAAGGGGGCAGGAACACGAGGGTCGCAGAGCTGGCCAGCCGAGGGACTCAGCGTCTCAGGCCGGGGCTGTTTATCAGATGTGTGCGCTCTGTTATTTTTGAGACAAGAAGGCCTGCACGCCTACTACGGAATGTCTTTCTGAAAAAGACAGGAAGGACTGTTTACAGTTTTCCATTTTTTTACCTGAGTTTGTTTCCTTACATTCTCCCCTGTCACCCACCTTTTTACATTCTTGACACAGGACTGGATGGCTCCCCAGACCTCGTCTCCTCCCCAGGGCAGAAGGGGGCCGCTCACCCCGACCCCAACAAGACCTCGGTGGGCACAGGACGTGTGAGGCAGCCTGAGGACCTCAGAGAGCCGGCGTCACCCAGGTCCGAGGTCAGTCTCACCCGGGACCACAGCACCTCCCCGGCAGCGCATCCCGACTCCTGCACGACTTGCGCAGCCCCGGGGAGGGGCAGGCCCAACGCCAACGGGAAGGCAGCTGCACGCGGGGGAGCAGGGCCCGAGACACAGGGCGCGTCACCGGCCCGCGAGGTCCCGTCACCAGACCTCCTCAAGTGCCAGGAGAGACCAGGAGTGCCAGGCGACCACAGCACAGCTCTGCAAATGACTGGAACCTTGGCGCCTGCACCCTCTGGGTCTGGAAAGGCACCGCAGGCCAGCACCGCCTGGACGTCAGCCCCTGACGGGGCCCACGGGGCGTGTGGCAGTGTCTCGGGGCACTGCTGCCTCGGGGACAGTGGAGGGGGCCCCGTGACGGACACGGACAGACTCGTCCAGGAGCTGGACGCCTCGGAGGGCAGGCTCCCATCTCCCGACAGAGGGCACCCGGCGAGGCAGGAGGGCAGTTCCCAGGGCCAGCTTCCCACAGGGGCTGCGGGAGGAAGCACCCGCCGTGCGGAGCCCGTCCCCGGGCACCAGACCCCTGCCCCCAGGAGGGCCCGGGCGGCCTGCCCGCCCCCTCAACCGCACCCGCACCCGCACCCACAGTGGGCCTCCCAGCCCTCCGTGTTGGATTCGATTAATCCGGACAAACCTTTTACTGTGAACNTGGGCGGCCTGCCCGCCCCCTCACCCGCACCCGCACCCGCACCCGCACCCGCAGTGGGCCTCCCAGCCCTCCGTGTTGGATTCGATTAATCCGGACAAACCTTTTACTGTGAACAAAAGCTTTCTGAGCAACTACTCTAGAAATTTCAGCAGTTTGCACGAGGACAGCACGTCCCTGTCTGGCCTGGGTGACAGCACGGAGCCATCTCTCTCCTCCATGTACGGTGACGCCGAGGACTCGTCTTCTGACCCCGAGTCACTCCCCGAAGCCCCACGAGCTTCCACCAGGGACACCCAGTCCCCCCCTCATTCCTGCGGGTCTTCTCACAGGGAGGATACCCTGGAATCAGAGGAGGAGCAGATTGAAATCTGTTCCACGGGGGGTTCCCCCAACCCGCCGGGGCCTGCGCCAGCCGGAAGCCCGCCGCCCCGGCCCCACGCTGCGGGGGAGGCCCCGGCCAGTCCCCGCGGGAGAGCCGCCTCCGTGTCGGGAGCCTCGTGCCCTCCAACCCTGAACGCTGTCCAGCCGCCTCCCGTCTTGGATGCGAGCGCTCAGGGGCGTGAACCCCCAGCGGACCCAAGGGTCACGCAGCACCGCGGGTCCTCGAGTGACGAAGAAACGGGGGGAGCCACCAGCACCGGCTCGGCCGTGGGAAACCACCAGCCCCCTGAAGTCACCAGGCACCTTCACTACGCCCCAGTCATTCTCGGCGCTCCTAACATGGCCAATGGTGTGGGACATGACTTGCTGGGTGGTGAAACCCCAGATAAAAAACCAGAAACAAGTGTGAACCCAACTGAAAACCGACCGTCCTTTAGTGTGGGTGTCCCTAAGAACGGGGAGCCTGTTTTGGGAAACCTGCACAGCTCCGAAAGCCAAGGCCTGGATGACCTGCTGCAGAAACCGAAACCGGTGTCCAGGAGGCCCATCATGGCCTGGCTCAAGGACATCAACAGGAGCACCCACGGTGCGCACTCGCAGAGGACTGACAAGGAGCAGCCCGCCGTGCCAGCCGCAAGCCCGGACCCCAAAGGTCAGGTGCTGGGCACAAGCCACAGGAAGGGGGCTGCTGTGCCAAATAGCCCCCCTCAGCTGAACCTGGACCTTGGAAATAAAGAGCCACCTAAGAAAAGTTCAGTGGAAACCCTTTTGAGTAACTGTCAGAAACCCAAGCCCGGCCCTAGGCTGAAGAGGCTGAGCAGCAAGGGCAAAGGCAAGGGCAGCTCCGAGGCCCCTGCCGCCCCCGCGCCTGCGGCAGCTGGGACAGACCACAGGAAGGCCCTCCTTTCACCCCAGACCCCCCCCAAAACCCTCCCTAAGGGAGCCTCACCCCGGGCGCCCGGAGCTGACCACGAGGGACCCGACAGAACTGCCACAGCCTCTGTCAGGTCTCCCCAGTGTGTGCTGGACAGCAAGCCGCCCCCTGCGGCCTCGGGGCCACTGAGGCTGTCAGCGTCGGACACAAGCATCAGACCGCTCGTTTCACCCCTGACCTCCCCCAAAGCTCTCCCTGAGCAAGGTGCGGGTGGCAGGCTCCACACGGCGGTCCACTCCGAGCCGGACAGAGGCTGTCCAGCCTCCCCCAGATCTCCCAAGTGTGGACCAGACAGCAAGGCAGCCTCAGGGACAGGTCTCGCAGCATCAAGGAGCAGCGTTCCCCCGGCAGCGGACAGGCGGGAGCTCCCGCCCCCCTGGCAGGGCCAGCAGCTCGCGGCCAGCCAGACGTATTTGGTACCAGAAGCAGCCCAGCCCAGGGGGACTGGTGACAAAGGAAGCAAAACAATTGCTAGTGATCCCCCAGAAAGAACCAACCAGCTGAAAATAGTTGAAATGTCTTCTGAAAGAATGCCAAAGAATGCAGGTGTTGACATGCCAGCCGAAAGGGACAGACAGGGAGGGTTCCTGGCCCAGAGCAATTGTCAGAAGAGTGAAGTGAGACTCTGTCACCAGTCAGTGGAGTCGTCCCCAAGCCACCACCCACCGGCGCTCCCATCCCGGGCCTCCCCGGTGGAGCAGGAAAGGCAGCGACCTTTCAGCACGGCACAACTGCCCTCCCCGCAGCTGCCCACCAAAAAGGCGGGGGCCTCCCCGGGGAAGTCGAGCCAGGTGTCAGACTCTCTGGGGGCACCCAGGAATGGGGGCCCAGCGCCGGATGACCACCCCTATTTCACGCCAAGGCCGGCGACCAGGACCTACTCCATGCCAGCCCAGTTCTCAAGCCATTTTGGACGGGAAGGGCCTTCCCTGCACAGCCCAGGCCGCTCTCACCGGGACAGCCAGATCCCTGGGACCAGCGGTGGCCTGGAGGCCAAGGCGTCCAGAGGCGGTGCTCCTGGCCTGGCGAATGGGCAGGGTGTCTACAGTGTGAAGCCCCTGCTGGAGACATCCAGGAACCTTCCGGCCACCGACGAAGGGGACGTCCTTTCAGCGCAGGAACCGAGCTGCCTTGTCACAGACAAAGTCAGGGTCACCAGAAGACACTACTACTTTGAGCAGAACTGGCCCCATGAATCTACCTCATTTTTCTCTGTGAAGCAGAGGATCAAGTCCTTTGAGAACCTGGCCAACTCCGACCGGCTCGTGGCCAGGTCTGGGGCTTCCCCTTTTTTGTCTGTGAGCTCCAAGCCTCCCATTGGGAGACGGTCATCGGGCGGCGTGGTTCCGGGGAGCCTCAGCCATCCCAGTGACCTGACAGCAAGGTCACTGAGACGCAGCCTGAGTTCCTGCAGCGAAAGCCAAAGTGAAGCCAGCACCCTCATCCCCCAGATGACCAAGTCCCCATCCAGCGTGACGCTGACAGTCCCCCGGCAGAACCTGGGGGAGGCCAGCAGCAAGGGCCCCGACTCGGACCTGAAGAAGTCACTTGGTCCTTCCGGAATTCCCGCCCCAACAGTGACCCAGGCCTCTCCCATCAAGAAGAACAAGTCCTCGGTGCGCCACGCCCAGCCCTCGCCTCTCTCCCGCTCTAAGCTCCAGGAACTGAGAGCCCTGAGCATGCCCGACCTCGACAAGCTCTGCAGCGAGGACTTCCCCGCAGGGCCCACGGCCGTGCTCTTCAAAACAGAGCTGGAGATCGTCCCCAGGAGGTCACCCCCCGGAGGCCTCAATGGGGCCACTGCCCTTTTGTGTCCTGTGAAGGGGGAAGACAGGGCCTGTCCAGGAGGAAGCAGGCCAAAAGCCAGTGAGCCTGGGGCACCCAGTTCAGCCAGTGTGAGTGAAACCACCCAGGATCTGCCTTCCAGAAAAAGCTGGTCCGTTAAGTAAGTATCTGTTCCTCTCCCTTTTATTTAACTACTTTAGATTTATAGAAAAGCTGCAAAGATAATGCAGAGTTTCCACACACCCCTCACCCAGCTCTTCCTAATATTATCATCTTCTATCACCACCATCCACTGACCAGAAGTAAACACTGGAACAACGCAACTAACTACAGACTTTATTCAGGCGTCACTAAGTTCCACAAATGTCCTTTTTCTGCTCTAGCATCCAGCCCAGGATACATCACATTTAGCCCCCCTTTGTTTTTAATACCAGTACTAGAACAGTAAGTGCCTGAGGGAAAGTGTTTGCCTAAATGTTGCTCGAAGGAGAGGCTTCTGTAGGACATGGCGCTTAGTAGGCAAAAGCACCGAGAGATGGACAGGAGGCTACACCTCAGGGAAGAATCTGGACCTTTGACGGTAACAGGAAATCTAACATTTCAAAACATCTCACTTGAGCCTATACGGTGCCTATTTTTTAATATATCAAATTGTGTTAAATTACCATATTGGTCCCCTAAAATCTTGGAGGAATCCTGAATCCACAGTCATTTCCACTGAAAATACCTACAGTGTAGTCAAAAGATCGTTTTAAATGCATGCTTACAAAATGGAGAAATTGCTTTTTTCTTCAATGTCCTTCTAATGTGTTTGTATTATTTAGTTTGGATCAACTTCTAGTCTCGGCGGGGGACCAGCAAAGATTACAGTCTGTGTTGTCATCAGTGAGGTCGAAGTCTACTGTCGTAACTCTCATGCAGGAAGCGAAAGCACAATCAGAGGTGAGATGCAGGAAACACGGATGGAACTGCTGCACCTCGGCGCCCAGGCCTGTCCACACCGAGACCCAGGGAGCCTTTCTCCAGGTCTCCTGTTGTGAGCTCACAGCTCAGTCTTTTGTCTCACCTGTTACAGATTAGACCTTGTCCTGCACTTTTAGGTGCCAGACAGGCGCAGCTGCTGATTTAATTCCCCAGCGGCAACTAGTTACTGACCTCCCCACCCCACCCCGCATTTGGAGTTTGTCTGCAGAGAGCCCTCAAAACAGAATGAGGCATCTTAGAACTGCTGGGGAGTGACCACAAGTACCTCTGTCCACCTAGGTAGACATAAACTACCTGTCAAGGGCGCCACCTGCTGGGGAATTAAGTTAACGTCTGTGTGGCTCTGCCCTGGCCTCAAGTGCAAGAGAGCTTCTGGAGCCTGGGGTTCCAGACAAAGAAGCTAATTAGTCATTACAAATAGACTTTCAATAAGTTGGGTGTGACAGTAACAAAAGGAACCATGGGTTCCTGTCTAGAATACTTCTCTGAAGTGCAGCATTAATGTCTCAGGACTGTCCATAGAAATTCGAACCCTAAGAAATGGAAATTTTCTATTTAGAGAAAAAAGCAAATATGAGCAATTTTTCTCATGTGGTAATGTACCTGGGTCACTAGTATCATCCAAAATTCTAATATTAGAAGGGCTGTGATGCTGGCATCCAATAAGGAGCCAGGAGGGAGAGGACGTGGGTGGACTAGAGACCAGTTGTCTTTAGCTTCCTCTCCTGGTTCTCCACCCACTGGTCTGGGTCCGTGCAGCCAAGAAACACCATGAGCCGTCCAGCACTCTCCCTCTCAGTGAAAGGGACTGCTCCATCCTCTCGCTTCCCCCTTCGACTTGTTGTTACAGTAAGCAAGCCTTTTGCACGTGAGGTGTCTCACTGGGTGATTTCCAGTCAAGGCGTCATCACCTTGGCATTTTACAGTGTTAGGTACAAGGTTAAAGGAGAAAACCAAAGGCAAAGGCCACCTGGGGTCATCTTCAGGGGCTGGGCCTCCCTTACCCCCTCACCCCGGTTCCACATTCACCACCAGGCAGGCAGGTGTGCTTGGTGTGGCAGATCATGCTCCTGTCATCAGAATGCAGCTGTCTTCAGCTGGTTTCGGGGCAGCGAGCGGAGGTGTCCTTACTCAGCCATCTTTAGACCAGAGGTTTTTCTGCCTTGCTTTTCTCAATGAGTATGGTTTGTAGGTGCTGAAAATGGAACTGCACAAAATGGTTTCTTGTGGCTTCTGGGGGTGCCCTGGTCTTCTGACTTCTATAGGGCTAGACCTTGAGGAGCCCCTGTTGGTGGATCTAGCTTTCCTGATGCTGTGCTAAGCTTCTCAGAGGTAAAATCTGGCCTGACAATAGATCAGCTCCCAAACACAACAGGGAAAAAATAATTTGAATAAATTAAAACTTTGGTGATGACATGTCCTAGGATGTGGGAAAGTCACATTTTCAAATATTGTCTCTTTGCTCCAATAATGCATTTAAATAGAAGGGGTCCTGTTTCAACATCCAATGTTATCTCTGAGCAGCTGCAAAGAGATCCTCTGCCGTACCACACACTCCCGTCTCTGGTGGGAAAGCCATCATCATTCTCCCCACTGAACTAATAAGCACACACATGGTCAAACTTGCCCGTAACATCAAAACCCCAACCTCCATAAGTTCTGCAGGACATTAAAATGCCTAAGGTTGGGCCTTAGGACTTACTAATAGAACCAAACACTTCAAATATGGGCTCCTTCCCCAGCACAACAGAGGTGGTTTTCTCTTCCAAGATTTTCTCTTTCTGTGTCAAAGCAATCCTTAAAGGTTATTATTAGATTCTTCTGCTGCTGTGTTTGAGAACACCTTGGATTGATGTTCACTTCATGGGGAACCTAGTAATGCAGATCTTTAAAATGTTGTGAATCATCTCTAACATGTGGGTGGAAGAAGTCAAAACTCAGTATAATTAGCCCAGCTCGTTTTTATTTTAAAATCTTTTACCAAGGTATCTTTTGATCAATGTTTGAAACAGAGGGAGTTGTTACTTAACCTTAGGACACTACCAAGAATGTTCAATCCAATACAGGAGTTGAGAGTTTTAATGTACTTTAAATATTGTCCCTGCCCCTGTGGTTCATGCCCACCTTCCAGTCCTTCTATAGCTACAGGATGGGCCCTGGAAAACCTGTAAAGGGTACCCCCAGGAGGAACGCAGCACATGGAGCTGCTGAAGAACCAACTGCTGGGTTTCGTGGGGATGAACTGCAGCACTACAGGAAAACTTACATCAATACACATTCCTCTTGGCACAAGCAATCTACTTTTTTGTTTCTTTTCAATAGAATAGAGAAGATGTCTGCTTTATCGTCTTGACTAAAAAAGAAGGCTCAGGTCTTGGATTCAGTGTGGCAGGAGGGACAGATGTGGAGCCAAACTCGACTGTGGTGAGTGACAATGCCAAGACGCTCTCAGGGAAATCACTGCTGCAGCAGCTCAGAGTTCGATCAGGACAAAATGCACATCAGTCCGTGACTTCAGAGGCTGCTGGTGCTTGTTCCTGCTACCTGAACAAAAGTGGGAAAGTGGGGGAAAAACAGTATATCATGTTTTCAGTGACAGAAATACACCTTTTCACACGTAGCTGACTGCTGTACAGGGTGACTGACCTTTTAGATGCCAATATACAAAAACATACTTATCTATAGCCTTGAATTCACCTAAATATTTTGTTAAGAAAAACATTAGAATTTGCTTATGAAATTACTTCTTTCTCAAGAACCACCACTTTTCAATTTTTACCACTCAAGGCCTGTGAGATAGATCATTAGGGAGGCCGGCCACCCTCCCTGGACAAGTTCAGGTCCTGTTCCTCTTTTGGTCTTACTGCCCCATAGAGTGTCAGGCACATATTAGACACTAGCAAGAAGTTGAGTAAAAACACATTCAGGTGCTGGCACTGACATTTACAATTCCATCCCTCACAATGAATTTGTTTTTGATATGAACCAAGTGTTTGCATGACTTGGAAAACTTGCCATTAGAAGGTTCCTTTAGTATAGATCTACAGTTACCCTTTTGCTTTTACTAGACGTCATAAATGAATCTCGCTTTGTCCTGTCCTTGTCCCAGGTCCACAGGGTATTTTCTCAGGGGGCAGCTTCTCAGGAAGGGACGATGAACCGAGGGGATTTCCTCCTGTCCGTCAATGGCGCCTCACTAGCTGGCTTGGCCCATGGGGACGTCCTAAAGGTTCTGCACCAGGCACAGCTGCACAGAGATGTCCTCGTGGTCATCAAGAAAGGAAATGATCAGCCCAGGCCCTCCACCCGGCAGGAGCCACCCACATCCAACGGGAAGGGCTTGCTGTCCAGAAAGACCATCCCCATGGAGCCTGGAGTGGGTAAGACAGCAGCTCACCAACCAGCAGGGTGTGAGCAGCCGGCAGTGTGGACTCTGGCCCAACAGGAAGGAAAACAATGGCTATCATCCTGTCATCTGGGTCAGAGAAATTTTTGTAGTGAGTCATTTTTGTAGTGAAGTGTAGTGTTTGTGGATGCTTCTTTCAAAAGCAGCATTACAAGTAAGTTATTTTTAAAAAGATCCAGGAATTAAAGCGATACTGTTGAAGATTTAAAATGACTATTTGACAGCTTCTCTCAGTGTCCTAAGAAGGGAGCCCTTTCGCATTTCCATCCCGTTAGCGTTTAAGTGGCTGGTAAGTAAAACAAGAAACCCTTGTATTGGGGGAATCAAGCTTGAAGGAGAAGCTCCAGACTGAGATCAGTCCTGGGAACACCAGGGTTTGTGGTGTTTCCTGCTTTAGAAGAACATAAGGAAATGAGGGTGTTTAAAGACAGAGACTGCACACGGTCATTCCAAGGCTCCACAGTAGCCACACTCAGAACCGCGTCAGTAATTAGCGTGGCTTACTGTTTCTGAAGCATGGGCTGGTTCCCCAGGTGACTTCAGTCTTCACTGGGACGTGCACCAACAGTATGGGGCTTGACCAGAGCAGTTAGGCTTCTGGAGATTACTGCTTGGGCATAAAGGCATGTTCCACGCTTGCCAACAGTGCTAGGAAGAGTAGAGGGTGGAGGCACTGCAGGAACATAGCCAGGAGAGGAGACCAACCCTAATGCTGGTCTCAAAAGTTGTCATCAGCACTTCAAGGAAGATGGGACCGGAATGTGCCAGGGGACAGGAGGTAGTGAATGTCCCTGTCATTTCCATCTTTATTGCAGGCAGAAGCGTAGCTGCAAACGACGCTCTGTGCGTTGAAGTACTGAAGACCTCGGCTGGGCTGGGCTTGAGCCTGGATGGAGGAAAATCGTCCATGTCTAGGGATGGGCCCCTGTTCATTAAAAGAGTCTACAAAGGTAATGTCCTAGAAAACCCAATCCACTGTCCATTACCTATTTCTTTCAGTGCCTTCCATTTGGAAATCAAATTTGTTTTAAAAAGTCTAAAATGCTTTTCATGCTTTACGACATACATATAGGGTTAGTGTATGTCAGCCCGGTTGTGTTCTACATGTATTAACTCATGTCATCCACGTGACAGTCCTATCACATAGGTACTAGTATCATCCCCGTTTTTACAAAAGGAGAGACTGGGCCACGGGGGAGTTACGCGAGCACCCAAGGCCACAGGTGTGAACCAGGCAATCTGGCTCTAGAGCCGGTGCTCCTAACTTCTGTTCTACACCTCTAACTCCATGTCACCGTCTCCCTGTCCTTAATTAACATTAGCTGTTACTGATGTGAACATACCAAGCTAAGTAATGCCGTGAGAATGGCCAGTCAGAGGTACTTAACATTGACCAAGACCACAGTGACTTAAAATTGCAAACACCAGATCCAAGGAAGTAGTGGGGG